AAGTGTAGGGATATGCTAGTGTAGTAACTAGAGAAATACAAAGTTTTAAAAAAATCCTTATTTTTAACAATAAAATAGTGTAAAAATGCAGTGGTTAAAAATGTTAATTGATTAACAGCAAGTTTCATTACTCACTGGCAATGTTGAAAAAGTAATGAATCTAATGGGGCAGTTAAATGTACAGTTTTCAGAAGTGAAAAAGAACAAGTCATCTTATAAGTTACCTAAAATGCTCAAATGTTGCTATCATATTTTATTATTTATTTTTATTATTAAGTTGTTTCAATCACATTTTTTTTCTGTACTTCATGATTGATAGCAAACATCCTTGAAACCTTCAGGTCTATCAATGTTGAGTCTTGCATTTGTGCAGTTCACTAGACATGTGTCAATCTGTGACTGGTCATTAACCCAGTCTAGAGTTTGGTGAAGCCTCCCATTACATTAGAAGCAGGAAAGACTACACTATCTGTCTCAGGTCCGAGCCAAAGACCATATTTCTTGTAATGGGTTTGGGGCATTTAGACTCAGTCTTGACTTGGACTCAACCTACTTAGATCTACTCAGACTCAAATGAGCTGGTACTGACTACAACACTGTTCTACAATGTACACCAGGGAATGGCATGGGTGATCAGTGACCATAAAAGACAATAAAGCAGCCCATCAGGATACTCTAAATCCTTTATCTGTACTCAGACAACTGATGCACATGCTCACTGCACACAGCAGCTGTGTCACACAGGTTTAAGTCTTGCCCGTATCACATCCCAATTTCATCATATGAACTACTCTAATAGTGATTATTTTCCTTTCTGGAGATTTACAGTACTGGTTATTGTATGATTTCACTGTTTGTCTTTCTCTGTGACAAACTGCTTATTCTATGTCGCTTTGGATTAAAGTGTCAAATGAATAAATAAACAAATAAGTGTGGATTCTTCCAAAAACTCTTGTGTTGCACAGAACACAACCTGCCACCCTTGGTCCATTATTCTGGAGCTCTTCCCACTTGCTTTTGAATTAAAGTGCTAAGTTTATTCAGTTTTACCCCTTTCTTTCCTCTTACGAGTGACTTCAATCTATATGTGGAAAGACTCATTTTCCTCAATTTCACATATGTTGGGCAGTAACGCATTACTTAGTAATGCGTTACCGTAATTTGATTACTTTTTAATAACTGAGTAATTTAATGCGTTATAATTTTCAAAATAGTCATTAGAGTGTAGTTACAAGCCGAGGTCTCTATACGTTACTGCCGCATTACATTGCTGACAGAATGCAGTGTTTTATAATCTGGAGATTGTAAAAAGGATGTAGCTCACGCACTGTCGAGTCCAGTGGCAGTGGATTAGAGACCTGCTCTCCTGCGAGACCTGACACAACAGAGTGCGGCGTGGGACAAGACTTGATAGGCGAGTGCAGAGACTCGTGTGTGTGCGGGATGCGGGAGAAAAAAATTATTCACGGGACTCCCGCAAAATAGAAATATCTAAACATAAAATACCTAAAACAAATAAATTGTTATTCATCTATTGCACAAAAGCTACATGAACTAATATAAAATATAAACGATTAACAGGTGCAAGCGTATGCAGAATTTCTATTTAGGCTATAACACGTGTTTGCAGCGTTGAACAATGCAGTGCTGAAATTTGCGTGTTCACGAATCCTCTCATTATAACACACGAATTGTAGACATTATGAAAGATTCATTATGCATATATTTATTGTGTTATAACAGAGATTTGTGAGATTGCGATGATCTGAGATGTCTTTTAGAGATTATAAATGCAGCGCTCTTTGCTGGCATTCTGCCATGCCAAACCATGCACGCAGCAGCCACTTGCTTTAGTTAAAAATAACAGTGTTCTGTGAATGTTGAATATGTATCGGGAGTGTGTATGATGGGATTTCATAAATTTCATGGTAACGTAAAAAAGTAACGTAACTAGTAATGTAACTAATTACTAATTACTTTTGAAATAAAGTAATCATACCAGTAACATGATTACTTTTAAAAGGAGTAATCAGTAATCAGTAATTTGATTACATTTTCAGAGTAACTTGCCCAACACTGCATATAACTGTTCCATCCTGTATTTAAATTGATTAAGAATGAGGGCTTTCATGATTTGGGCTTTTGTAGACTGCAGTGGAATGACTTTGGGGTCATGGAGTCATATCCTCTCCTTGAAGTCCTTGATGCTTATCATTTTTCATTTTCTCACCATATGACATAATTGAGAATACGGTAATTTGCCAACGCATTTTGTTGCATCTGTGGTTGAACCGTGGAGTAAGCACACAGTGTGGGTGTTTGTGTGGTTTGAAAAGAAGTACAAAATATACTATCCATATGTAAAGTAAATACAAGCAACACAACATTTGAAATTAAATAATTTAAGGTTACACTATATTCATCCATGTACTTTAGGAAGTTGTATTTCTACGTAATTCAAAATACATGCAACATTTATTTATTTATTTAGAGATTTTTAGAGTGCAACTTGTTAATTTAGCAATAATAATGTAAATAAGAAGTAAAGTAATATTATTCAGATTGCAATCTAATATTCAAATGCTATGTGTTACTGAATGGAATCATTGGACACAATTATTGAAATTTCATTGGTCCGAAATCCTACTCCACATAGCTATATTATATTAATTTATTAGATTGAATTAACACATTTGATTGTGTGGTTTCAGTCAGCATTTCTACTTTCAGTGAAAAAACGATTTGCTTGACATCAGGAAAATCACTAGTTAGAACACAATGTAAAATTTAGTTATTCATTCATATAACACTCAAACAAATTTAAGCAAAGCAAAATGTAACACTCCTATGATTCTTTGCTGTTATGAAGCACAATATTTGCCAAACTTTGCTATGTGTCAATGCATAATCTGCTGTGGGACTGTCTTACAAATTTGTATTTTTTTATTAATTTTTTTTTTGTCTATTTAATTTTGTGAAATAATAAACTATATATATATATATATTAAAATGCATTAGTTTTAATTTTTTTTTTTGTTTTTTATAAACTAATGTAAATAAAGTTCAACAAACTTAGCAACTGCACTGCTTTGACAGAGCATATAAAGAGCAAATGCAGAGTTAGGCTAATGCAAATACAGTCCACATAGGCCTACACATACAGTAACAGCTATTGATGTAATCATTCATGGCCAGCGGTCAGAGAGATCATTACACTCGTCTTAGTCCATCCTCTAGAAATACCAAAGATACAAAGCATGAGATTATAGACTTTGCCAGGAAAGATACTGAGTAAATGATTATAGGCCTTTGTGCAGTGTATGCAATGGTTGGTGTAGAGTCAAGCCTAAAACAAGTCACAAAAGTGTTTTCCTTAATGGGCAACTTATCATTGCATGGACATATACTCATGGATTTTAAATTCTGTTTTTACTATTCTACAGAACATGGCACTGGGCTGTTAATTGAAATTCTGGAAAGACGGGAATGTAAGAATCGTGCATTTGAAGATCGAGACAGGATCATCATTAATTAATCAGACAGGTATATTATGCAAAGCAAAAATGACTTTATACTGTGCTCCTGATAACTGAGTACATACAGAATAAAATGGAAAGACAAATCACTAAGAAATACTGCCGGAATCAACCCCTGACCTCCAGTAAAAGAGCAATGAACAAGAGTAGTTTAATATATGACTAGATGAGGCAGATCTCACGGAACTGATAAACAAGTTTTATAGCTGTTCTCTTGATCTATGCTTGAATCATTTGGTTGATCACTGAACTACAGCCTAATGTAGTTCAGGTCTGACTTAGGGTGAAAAGGGTGCATTTTTAGTGAAAATGTGCAATTGTTACCTTTAGGATCTATTTTTACCTGGTTTAGAAATTACTTAAGCTAATGTGGCGAGATTAATTTTTTTTCACCCCCTGATTGTCCATCCCGAAAAGAATAGTCTCTCATAGTACATACTATCATGCAAATGCTGTTGTGTTCAGTGTAGTACAACTACAAATTATTCCTTTCTCTCTGTATTGTTGAAACTGTAATGACATCTATCCCATTCATTCATATCTACATAAACGTCAGTATAAAATTTCACTTTCCAGTAGGTCTGATTACATTACACAAAGGCTCGGTATATCCCCCACCTCCCCCAACACACACACACTTCTGTTGACTTCTATTAATAGTGAGTGAGCTATAAGTACTATAAGATAACTACTAAAACAAAACGTTATTTACTTTATTTTATACAGCTTTAACAAATGTGGATGTCCCAACATGTCTTTTGGGGGGGGTTGTCAGATTTAGCTCACTTCTGTACAAATGTGTCCCAAAACTACGTTCTGATTAAGTAGGTACCTACACACACGCACGCACACACACACATTTCTCTTTTTATCCAAGAGGTGGCACTGTTGAGTTTTCAAAAGGCCCATTAATCCAAGAACATCCCTAACTTTAATCATTTGCAAATAATTGTATTATTTGAAATTATTTAATTTACATTATAACGACAATAATTTTGTATTGTAGCTTAGGGTTTATGTGTTGTGTATTACTATTTACATGTTAATTCAGGCACAACATTAATTTAAGTTAGACATTAAGTAATTGTTTTATAATGATTATGTCGAAAAATCAGTTGTTATCCTCTTGACTTATCCTACGATCCTACTAACTGCATAATATTAGAAAGGTTAAAAAACGTCACATAAACGTCCAGACACTCGTGTTACTAAAGTAACAGAATTGAGCATTTTGAAAAAGGGAAGGACGAAAGAGTTAAACGTTCGAAGTCCATTCAGCTCTTTCCTCCAGCATTTCCAAAATGACAGTCAGCTGACGAGAAAAGTTTTGGTTTCCGAACTCGTATGTTAAGGAGCTCTGAGATTCAGCAACCCCATTGGCTCGCTGCCTCGCTTCCGAACCTTACGTCACGGCAGCTATAAAACTCAGCAATGCTTTTAAACTGTACTGTAGTGTGTCGAGTTTAAAAACACTCTCAGCTCGATCTGTGTAAGCAAGCGCACTTCTTTTACCTTCCACTCACCCGTTTGACCACGATGATGTCTGCTCATGAGGAGTCAGCAAAGTGTTAAATGTTTGAAATCCAAGGCCTCCGAAATTCACTTGAAAAGAGAGGAGAACGAAATCCGATGCATTTTTGCAATAGACTGTGCCAACGAGAGCTCATAATCTGGAGTTAGGAGAGCAGTGCAAAATCCTGTGAGGTGTCTGTTTTCCTGCTAAGAGTAAAGCATTTAAACATCAAGCTGGCTCACTCTCTCCCGACCCAGCCCGCTTTGACAGCTGCTTTTCACCCGCTCTGGAGGACGGTCAGCAGCAAGAGGATGGCATCAGAGCTGGCACTGAGCAGCTCCGACCTGCCCACCGGTCCCCTGGCCATGGAATATGTTAATGACTTCGATCTGATGAAGTTTGAGGTGAAGAAAGAGCCACTGGAGCCCGATCGCAGCATCAGCCAGTGCAGCCGCCTGATCGCCGGGGGATCCCTGTCTTCCACCCCGATGAGCACGCCTTGCAGCTCGGTTCCCCCTTCTCCAAGCTTCTCGGCGCCCAGTCCGGGATCCGGGAGCGAACAGAAGGCGCACCTGGAGGATTTCTACTGGATGACCGGTTATCAGCAGCAGCTCAACCCGGAGGCGTTGGGCTTCAGTCCCGAGGACGCGGTTGAAGCGCTGATCAACAGCACACATCAGCTCCAGAACTTCGACAGCTATGCTAGAGGGCAGCAATTCAGTAGCGCAGCCGGGGCGGGAGGCGCCATGGCCGGAGAGGAGATGGGATCCGCCGCCGCGGTGGTGTCCGCAGTCATTGCCGCCGCTGCAGCGCAGAACGGGGCACCTCACCACCATCATCACCACAGCCACCACCAGCAGCACCAAACCCCAGGGGTCCAGCCCAGCAACAACTCCTCTGCCCCCCACCACCAGCACTCCCACCTGGATGACCGCTTCTCGGACGAGCAACTCGTTACCATGTCCGTGCGGGAGCTCAACCGGCAGCTGCGCGGCGTCAGCAAAGAGGAGGTGATCCGACTCAAACAGAAGAGGAGAACCCTCAAAAACAGAGGCTATGCCCAGTCGTGCCGCTACAAGAGGGTCCAGCAGAGGCACGTATTGGAGGGCGAGAAGACACAGGCGCCATGGCCGGGGAGGAGATGGGATCCGCCGCCGCGGTGGTGTCCGCAGTCATTGCCGCCGCTGCAGCGCAGAACGGGGCACCTCACCACCATCATCACCACAGCCACCACCAGCAGCACCAAACCCCAGGGGTCCAGCCCAGCAACAACTCCTCTGCCCCCCACCACCAGCACTCCCACCTGGATGACTGCTTCTCGGACGAGCAACTCGTTACCATGTCCGTGCGGGAGCTCAACCGGCAGCTGCGCGGCGTCAGCAAAGAGGAGGTGATCCGACTCAAACAGAAGAGGAGAACCCTCAAAAACAGAGGCTATGCCCAGTCGTGCCGCTACAAGAGGGTCCAGCAGAGGCACGTATTGGAGGGCGAGAAGACACAGCTCATGCAGCAGGTGGACCACCTCAAACAAGAGATCTCCAGACTGGTGCGTGAGAGAGACGCGTACAAAGAGAAGTACGAGAAGCTCGTGAGCAGCGGCTTCCGAGAAAACTCTTCGAGCAGCGAGAACAACCCCTCATCCCCGGAGTTTTTCATGTGAGTTTCCTAAAAAGCCTAAAAAAAGAAAAAAAGATTTTAAAAGTGTTGTTTTTCAGTTTTGGGGGTTGTTAGTTAGTTTTTTTTTTTTTTAAGTTCTGCTTGCTGTTTTGTGACTTTACATAATAATCTATTGACTATATAAAGAGACATGTCATTGAAGTGCCTGCATGCTGGACATGTATGGTCTTTTTGTTTGTTCTTTATTCCCCCTCTGTTTTTTATGTGCTTGAAAATGAACTTCTACTTGGAAAAGAACTTCTGCTCAGCATGGCATTCATACATTTATTTCATTTCCCAATCACTTTTTTGGAATACGGACTAAAAAAGTGAAAGGAGCATCATGCCATCATCCTCCCCATGAAAAAGTCGATCCATACAGTTAATTCTCTGTTGAGAGCCAACTGGAAGCAGTGTTGCGAGGGAGAGAACAAGGACCTGGTTTCTAAAAGGAATTCTCCCTCTGGGACTTAAGTGTTGTTGCTAAAAGCGGTTTGTGTATTTAATGTCAAACCTTTGCATTTTGATAACTCTGGAATGAACTACTTTTTTTTTCATCATATAAGAACAGTTAGAGGTACTTCATGCCACAGGTTGACACGAAGAAGGTGACTTGGAGTTTAGATGTTGCCTGTTTCTTTTTGTTAGAAGTTTGGGAAGGCTCCAAGTTTGCATACAGCTGGATTTTTATAATGCGTAACTTGAGCTTTTTGCAGCATGTACTTGCAATGAAAACAACAGTTTGACAGTTGTAGTTCCAATTGTAGCCTGCCATTTACTGTATTTTAAAACCAAAGTATTAAAGTAGAATTTTAAGTCTACATGGAAAATCATGCATTTAGAAAAAAATAATGTCTGATATAAAATCTGACCTATTTGGAATGAGTTGCACTAAATGTAGCTTGTAGCAAATTATATATCGCATATTGGGATCTTATCTAGAACGCTAATTTAAAAGGCACCCATCATGGCTTTGCTGAAAACTAAATACATTCATTATTTACATGGCAATAATGTAGTAATCAATATTAAAATGTCTGGACATTGTTTTATGGTCAGGGATTGATACCCTGCTTGTATAAAATCAGGATACACCGTTCATCAATAAATTCTTAAAACTGTTAATTTTTTTTTTTCATATATATTTTGCTGTGCAAAATTATTTTACCCACTAACCATATGTGATGTTCATATATGCTTATTTTCTTTTAATACAATTATAATGACATGCAATAAAATGCGATTTGGGCCACTTAAAGTCTGCTTTCTCTGGATTTTGCTTGTTAAAGTTTTTTTTATTTTTATTTTTTATTATTTTTTATTAGTTGTTTAAATCATAATTATTGTTAGTAGCCTGTTTTTATTAGTCTTATCCAGTGCTTGCATTGCGCAAAACATGTTTGTCATCTTAAAAATAGACTGTCTAGCGCAAGATTCAGACTGAAACTATGTAAACAGCATTTGCTCATATCATATAGTTGTTTGGCTCAAAAGACAACTATTTGTTAACACCACAAAGTGCTAATTTTCTAAAGCTTTATACAAACACTATCTCATAAATTCACAAGTATTCTCTAGAAAAGACTACATGATTACAGAGCTCTTATCACATAATGTTTGATAGAGTTTAAATAATGAATTTTATGGCAGACAACGCTGGAACATTCCAAAGTTCAACACCATGTCAATACAATGGACTTTGCTTTATGTTTAGAATGAAGTTATAGCGCCACTGTAGGTGTCACCTTTCTATCTTTCTTTAGTAACGCAAAAGATAAATTGTGGATTAATTGATAAAAGCTATCCCTTTTAACTGGGTGCAGGTTGTGCACGCTGTGTTGCACAGATGTGCACAGAACAGTCCTTGAAACTCCTGGAACAGCTGTTTGCTGTATTTTAAAACCAACGTATTAAAGTAGAATGTTAAGTCAACATGGAAAATCATGCATTTAGAAAGAAAAAAAAGTCTGATATAAAATCTGACCTATCTGGAATGAGTTGCACTAAATGTAGCTTGTAGCAAATTATATATTGCATATTGGAATTTTATCTAGAACGCTGATTTAAAAGGCACCCGTCATGGCTTTGCTGAAAACTAAAGGATATAATCTTTTATATATATATATATATATATATATTAATAATAATAATAATACATTTTATTTATAATGCGCTTTTCTCAACCCAAAGCGCTACAACAATGTCACATGTAAATACAACTTAATCATAATAGACAATTTTAAAAAAGTGGGTTTTCAACAGTTTCTTAAAAGTACTTAGTGTAGGAGCACTTCGAATGTTTAAAGGAAGCGCATTCCATAACCTCGGAGCGGCACGAGAGAAAGCTCTCTGTCCCATATATATCCCTTTTATGCCATTACAGATACATTTAATCTTCATCAAGATTAACAGCGCTCAGTTTGTTCTGAGATTTGTTCTTTAATTACTAATTTTGTGTCTTTCCTCCATGTGAAGGAGACGGCTTTGTCGTCCACCTCTCCTGAAACAAGAGCTGTAGAGGAGGGAACAGGAGATCGGGCGAGAGAGTATAGCTGGAGAGTTGAAATTATTTTCCCAATGATTAATCGCTCAGAAAGGGGCTGACTTGAGCCATGTAAAAATTATAAATCATGAATCTGTATGGCTGCAGCTGTGTCCAAACTGGGCTTTTAGCATGCATGCGAAAGCTGCAATTTGTTACAAATCTCTCTCTTATGTGCACACATTTCAGTACTTTGAGTTTGCAAAACCCTAGACATCTCCTTAAACTCAGTGTGCACTGTAGAAATTAAGGAAAGCACAAACTGTAACTTGACATTATTATGATCTTATCTGCTTTCTTAAATTTGAAATTTATTAATGTTGTCCTAAAACATTACGCTTTAAGTTACTTAAAAGCTTGCTGTTACAGCTGGGCTGTTATGATCCTCAATTTTGTAAATATTTTTATTTAATTCTTATTATTTTCTATATTATTGAATGTGGAAGAAAAAAGTAAAAATCAGTTAACTGAATCAATGAATGTTCTTCTCTTATTGAGTCTCTGCAAGAGCGAGTTCAGGCTTTAGTGAAGGTGTATTTCAGTGTTTGAGTGTATGTGTGTACAGAGGAGGTCAGTGAGCGAGATGTAGAAACGTGCACAGTCATAACAAAGATCTTTACCCTCAGGGGAGACCTTATTCATTTCCTGTGCCAGTCCTTAAGTCAAACGCATACGCACATAGGCATGACACTCTTCCTATGGATCCGCAGCTACCTTTCATCCATTTTCACTTTTAATCATCTAACAACTAGCAGCTTTACTCAACAAATTTGCCCACCGATTTTGCATTATTTTGATTAGTTGACTTAATGCAATCACACGGTCACCCATGTACATTGCAGGCTGTATTGAAGCTTTATTAGAATTTGGTGTACATGTTACATCATGTACACTAAATATACATGATGTCATGATAGATAGATAGATAGATAGATAGATAGATAGACAGACAGACAGACAGACAGATAGATAGATAGATAGATAGATAGATAGATAGATAGACAGACAGATTAACAGTTCAGTTTTGGAAGTCTTTTGGCTTGTGAGTGACGTGGGTAAACTTGAGAGCTTTCGGAAAGATGTGCACACACTTTGAAACTGTGTGTCAAGAGTATTGGGGTTTTCCAGCGATGCACAGACACAATGATGAAAATGATGCATGTATGATACAGAGAGCAAGTGAGATCTTTGGATTAAAAGTATTTACTTATTCTTTTATTTGGGCAGTGACATGTAGATTTAAATGAATAATAATTTAGTTTACAATGAAAAACAATTGCTGTATAATGAACATCAGTTTAGATAAATATCACCTAAATTCAGTAGAATAAATTTGACAGCTTTCTTATTGTTTTTTTTTTATTGTTTTTTTTAAAGTGTTGATAAGTGTGTCAATAAACTCTCAGAAATGTGGATATAGAGAGAGAATATTTCCAGGCATTTTCTGGGTGATATGTAAAATCATCTAATCTAATTTCACCAGTTGACAACGAACATTTCAACACACTTGAGTAATTTATATTTATATTTGCAATGTACCTAACAAATGTAGTGTTGAGCCTTTAATATGAATGCTATAATATTTGTTTGTCAGTATCCATTAAATTAATTTAATAGGGGTTCATTTGCTTAATTGTTTTATTTTATCTACAGACAAACATTGAACATATTACCTCTTATCTTTTTTACAAGTTTCTCTCATATTGGCAATTTAGACATTTAGGCAACTGAGAATACAAAGAAAAACGGTGAAATTCAGTTCCTCTTCATAATTTGTATGGCCCTTACATGCAGTTCTTTAGTTTCTGTGAAACTGCTCATTTTCTTTCACACTTTTTTTTTCCTCATCCTGTTCCTGGGTAAAGGGTGCAGTGTGCGTGTGTCTTGAGCATTCAGAGTATTACACTGAGCTCGTCCTATGTGTCGGGTAAATTTAGGTTTGACATAGCCTTACAATTTTAGATTATCTAACTTTTTTATGTTTCTTTCCAGACAGAATATTCTATTTCTGTGATGAACGGCATCCTGAACTCTGTTTTGAAGCGATCATTTATCATGACTGTATGTCAGTTAGAATTAAAATCAAAATGAGATTAAAATATGAATTTGGAGTTTAATGCGTACATTATAGTGTAGTGGAATTGCATAAAATGCACGTTAATGCTCACACATCATACAATGTACTGTCACACCTTTGACTACTTAAAAATAAAATAATAATAATAATAATAATAATAAAGAATAAATAAAAAAATTATACAATAAAAATGGAAATGTAAAAATTATTTAATTTAATTGTGAAGTAATTATGTGTCTTAAAAGAGTTTGAATGTGGACTGCACAGTGGAAAATAACTATTATATGATAACTATAATAACTATTAGACTACATGGCATACGTGTACACTGAAAATTCCCAGACACACACAGTCTGGTCAGCTATCCTTGTAGAGACTCTCCATAGGCGTAATGATTTTTATACTGTACAAACCGTATTTTCTATCACCCTACACCAACCCTGCACCTAAACCTACCCCTTACAGGAAACTTTCTGCATTTTTAGATTTTCAAAAAAC